TGTGCTGCTGCTCCCTGCAGCACGCAGCAGCGCCGGCCCCCCACTGCTGCTGCTGCTGCTGCTGCTGCTGCTGCTGCTGCACCCCCAGGGGCCCCAGGGGCCCCCAGGGAGCTCAAAGAAGCCAAGACCTCCAAGTGTCCCTTTGGAGACGTGCTGTCTGTACACCCGAAAGGAGACCATTTTCTGATTTCTTTGTTTGCTGCTGCAGTGTCTCCTGGCTCGACCTGTAGATACATCCCAGCAGCTGCAGCAGAAGCAGCAGCTGCTGCTGCTGCTGCAGCAAAAACTGGTGCAGCAGCCGCCGCGGGAACAGCAGCAGCAGCAACTAGAGGTGCAGAAGCAAGAGGGCAGCAGCAAGAGCAGCAGCAGCAGCAGGAGCAGCAGCAGCAGCAGCTAAAGGCGCACCCTAGGGTCTAAGCCGTTGGGCAGCAGCAGCAGCAGCTGCTGCAGCTGCTGCTGCAGCTGCTGCCGTTCTGCTGCTGCTCGCCGACTGAGGGAGTGAAGATTTGCTGCCTGCAGGAGACACCTCTGCGCCCTGTCTCCCTTCTGCTCAACTAATTAACTAATTAAATTAAATTAAATAATGAGTTAATTAAATTAATTACTTAATAAATTAAAACAATAGTAAATAAATAAATAAATTAAATTAATTTAGAGGGTTTTAATTCAGCAAAAAGAAACATCAAGCAGAACAAGGGGCCCCACCTCTGCCTTCCTTGCTGCTGCAGAGGAGACCAGCTGCTGCTGCTGCTGCTGCTGTTCTTGCTGCTGCTGCTGCTCTTGCTGTTGCTGCTGTTCTTGCTGCTGCTGCTGCTGCTGCTGCTGGGTCCTTGCTGCTTCTTTCCTTTTCCGCATCAGCATATTGAGCTCCCTAGATACTTGGCGCAGACGCGCCACCAAACCTGCAAACCCCAAACCCTAAACCCTAAACCCTAAACCCTAAACTCTAAACCCTAAACCCTGAGCAGCTGCCGCAGACCCCAAGTCCCAAGCCCTTAATTAGTCTAAGAAATCTTTAATAACGGGCCACTAGACCCTAAACACTAGACCCTAGGCCCTAAGCCGTAAACCTCCGCCGCTAAACCCTAAACCCTAAACCTTAAACCCTAAACCCTAAACCCTAGTGCCCGACCCGGCAGGGCCTGTAGGGCCTCCTTGGCCTCCTGGGGGGCCCCCCGGCTTTCCAGAAGGGCCTTTGCCTCTTCTTTGCGTCTAAGGAGACAATCAATATCCATAGGCTGCAAAAAGGAGCTGGGGGCCCCCAGGGGCCCCCCTGGGGGCCCCCCTGGGGGCCCTCCTGCGGGCCCCCCTGGGGGGCCCCGGCCCCCCCAGAGGGGCCCCCCTTGGGGGCCCCCTGGGGGCCCCAGCGGTGACTGTGATATGGGGACACAGCGGAGCTCGGGGGACCCCCGGGGGGCCCCTTTAAGCCTGCAGCAGGGTGTGGGGGCCCCCCAAATGAACCCTAGGGAGGGGCCCCCGGTGCAGGGGGCCCCCCAAGGGGGGCCCCCCTCTAGAGAGCTTGGGGGCCCCCCCTCAAGCTTCAGAGGACGGGGGGCCCCCACGCAGCCACGTAGGCTCGCTGCAACTGCAGCAGCGCCTCCAGGCAGCAGCAGCAGTTGCAGCAGCAGCAGCAGCAGCAGCAAGGGAGATAATAGAACACCAAATTGAGGCTTGAGGCCCCTCAGAGAAAGCCCCATAGAAGGACCCAAGAGAAAAGCTGCATGCAGCAGCAGCAGCAGCAGCAGCAGGGTCTTTTGGGGTGCAGGAGCAGCCAAGACGGCCTCAACCCTAAACCCTAAACCCTAAACCCTAAACCCTCAAAACTAACACACTGAACCCTAAACCCTAAACCTGTTTCACAAAGATCCCAAGTGATATAAGACTCCCAAGCAATTCAACTCATTCAATTAATTTATTATTTCCATTTCTGCTGCAGGAGACATCAGGGGGGCCCCCCGAGCCTATGGCTGGGGGCCCCTGGGGGCCCCTGGCCCCCAGAGGCCCCCCGGGGTCCCCTGGGGGCCTCTCCAGCCTATTTCTGGACTGTGTCTGCTTTTATTTGTTGTTTTCGGGGATTAAAAATAAATTAAATTGCTTTTGGATATTTAAATGAAATAAAATAAACAAAAAGGACCAGCTTGCGGGGGTTGTGGTGTCTGTACACCCCAGCTAGCTGAGTAGGCACCCCAGACGGTCCAAACCCTAAACCCTAAACCCTAAACCCTCGCCCAAACCCACGATAAAAGCCCTTAAACCCTAAACCCTGCAACTCAAATAGACTTCCCTATAAAGAACCACGGGATGTACGTACACCCCGTGCCCCCCACTCCCTCCGTGTAAAAATTCATTTTCTCTTACTTATTTTTCATTCCAACTTTCTTTTAACTCTTTTATCTAGTCTTTCAATTCCCAGCAAGTTGCAACGCATGCACACACCTAAGGGGCCCCAGGGGCCCCCCTGAGGGCCCCTGAGGGGCCCCCGTACGGGTCACCCCTTGGGGGCCCTCTGGGGGACCCCCTGGGGGCCCCTCAAGGGTTCCCCTGGGGGCCCCCCTGGGGCTTCTGCAGAAAACCCTTCTGGGGCCCCCCACGTATATCCTCAGAGGGACCCCAGAAAGCCTCTAAAGTGTTTCCTCAACTACCCATTCTCGGGGCCCCTCAGGGGCCTTGAGGGGCCCCCCGGGGGCCCCCTGCGCATCCAAGGGGTCCCCTCATGGGCTTTGGGGGGCCCCTGCAGAGGCCCTTGGATAAGGGCCGTCCACACAGCATTTTGGGGCCCCGCAGGGGCCCCTTCAAGGGTTTAAAAGACCCTTTATGGGTCCTTTAGGGTTTGAAAACCCTCCAGGGGCCCCTCAAGGGTTTAAGAGCCCACGGGGGGCCCCTATTAGGGCTTGGCTGGGAGTTTTGGGGGCCCCCTAGGGGC